CAGCTCCTTTCACTCGAGCACAAGCTTGCACTATGGCGCGACCGTATCACGCTGACGGTCACAACACTCCACGAGCACGGCATTACCCTCACCACACCTGAGTATGGAAGCACGATCCATGAGCTGAACATCGAGGTCAATCAGCACGATCAGGTGTGCATGCTACTGTCCTTTGGCACCGTGAGCATCGTAGTTGGACAAGCCGAGCTGGAGCACAAGACATCAGACATGGACGAGTTACGTACGGTTTTCGACGAGCGCTTACCAGAGCTGATCGTCGAGACACGGAGACGCCTTGCGGCTGCATAATATTGGCCTAGCGAGATCGATTTCACCGCGATGAGGTGGAGTTTATACCATACGCAGGAATTAGTACTTGGTCAATACACGTATGATCACGCACGCGCATTCTCTTGGATTCTGGAGATTTTGACGGTGACAGCCGTATCGGTCACACGCCATAGACGATTGTGCAGACGCCGTCGACGTGACTTATGAAGCTTCTGTCCCCACAGCCATCACTCCAAGGTTGTCAATCACATTCGAATCCAGCTCATTCCAACCAGGTGTCGCCACCGTATCTTGACGCCGCCGCGCTCGCTCCAACCTTCAGCCTCGTCGGGCCTCATCTCGAGCCGCTTGGCCCGCCACTTCACGGCGAAGCAGAGCAAGACTGTGCTCAAGCACACGCGGAATTAACCTGCCGCTGACGCGGTACAGTAGAAAGGCTCATGCTTGGTGGGGAAGAAGTAAGGCGAGAACTAGTGGGAAGCGTGATTTACGTAGTCGACGATAGCAACGAGCGTGGGTTGTCTTGCTGCGCGGCGCTGGCATGAGGGTCGTCTCCTACCTGTACATGTATGTATACACATGTAACGATTGGAATGCATGTGAGGTGACGCTTCGGCATCACGTCTTGGCACATGCGGGACTTCAAGGTTCCTGTTGGCATTGTTTGCACGTAAGAACATAACATCACAGCGTGCAATATTTGTTGAGGTCATCACCATCGGCATCAATATCTGTCTGCCTGCCCGAAGCCACGTCGATATGAGGTGTGTGTATGCACGCCGAAACCCATGTCGCCGTGCCAATACCGCGGACTGAGGCGCCGTCAACACACCGTCCCAAGCTGTCCAACCACGAGGTGCAGGCTCAACTATTCAACGGGAACATGTATATGCTGTCGAGAGGCAACGATGCAATGTTGCGTTGAACGCTGGGTGACGGTGAAAGTGGTACGGAGCTACTCGCATTTGGCGTCTTTGCACACTGGTGAAAGTCCAGCCAAGTCCACAATCACTACAACGCCCACACGACCATGCACCGACCAACGGAATCTCTAGCACACTAGTACCGAAGCGAACCGGGTCTCTCATTTGCATGTCAAGCTGTATTCTGCTTTCCGGAGTCAGACCTCACATTCATCCTTTGTCTTCAGCAGTACAATACTAAGCCCGCGTTCACAAAGAGACAACTTCCAGCTCACGATGCATTCGAAGACCAAGTACAATACTAACGACTCTGGATTATGCCTCCACAGCCCATACTGCCTGTTCTCGTCGCAATCTCCACCCACTCTTTCTGCTTTCGTCAAATACAGGAACAACGAACCACATACCGAAAGAAGCAATACATAAGCCTGCCACCCCAACTCCAACCATCCAACTTCTTCTTCTGCTACCCAGAAAACAACTCAATCTTCTGAACTATCACACTCGCTAAGTACGTTCCCCCATCACTCCATCTCCCATACCCAATCAAGGCTAACACTCCCTCTCAGGCTCCACCAAGCTCAACCCAAATCAATCGAAATGGCTCCCACCGCTTTCACCGCCAGCCTGCCGCTGAGCTCCAAGCCCGGCATCGAGTACGTCTGCACCGTGTCGTCCAAGCCCGGCATCGAGTACGTCTGCACCATCCAGTCCAAGCCGGGCATCGAGTACGTCTGCGCCATCATGTCCAAGCCGGGCATCGAGTACGTTTGCACCGTGCAGAGCCAGGAGTAAGCGATAGCATCCTCGCTATGGCCTGCTCTTTGGAATGCGACAACAACCAACACTATCTTTTCTTCATGTACGGCCTGAACTGGTCTGAGGCTCGGACTTTGTCGGGGTGCTGATCCGGGAGGGCTTGTGTTTCCTAGATGGGCTGGATGGGGTTCTGCTGGCATGCAGGGCCGTCCGATCATCGAACAGTGCGCGGGCGGGAGAGCTGGAGCTTTGGCGAAGGCTGGACCGTCTGTTGCGCTTTTTGTTACTTGCGAGATTTTGGATATATCGACATCACATAGATGAAAAGAGTGCAGCTGTCTTTACCGACGGCTTGATGCACAAGTTACACCACCTTCGTCTCTCACTTCTGATCATTGATGCTTGCTCTAAAGATCTATCTGTCATTTCTCGTCGATGCAACGCGTGCTCCCGTCAGTATTCTCCAGCTCATACCACAACTGCACGGAAAACTTGACATAATCCCTCTCCTCGAACTTTCACGGGCTAATCCAACGGCTCGCAGCGCGATGCACACAAACCCGCCAGCCTTCAGTCTCCACTCCCTGCTATTGCCCATCACCACTCAGCGCAACCTCAACCACCCATCCACATAGTCGCCCTGAGCCTCCAGCTCACCGCCACGCTCCTCTCCATCCTCAGCGTCCGACGTTGTCTCCACAGTAGCTTGCAGGACCAACCACCCGTCCATGTACCCGTCGTTGATCGCCAGCCCGCCGCCGCACCCGTCGCCAGTCTTCGTGCTCGCCATCGCTCCTTCAGCGACCTGCTCGGCATCGTTTTCCGTAGCGGCAGCCGACTTCACCAGCTTGGCAGCGGCGGTACTGCCACCATGCATATACTCATGACCTAGCGTCGGCGTCGAGGTCCCAGGAGTATCGCCGTTGAGGAGACTTCCGCTCCGCACGACCTCGCACTTGGACCTGACCTTGAACGGATCGCCTTCGGAGGTCTTCTTCTGATTGTCGAAACGCAGCGAGCGCTGCATACCCTCACAGGCGCCTCCAAAGCCGTCGTCGCCGCACGCCAGCGATCCTTCCGCATACCCTGCGTACCCTCCGGTGTCGGTAGTCACCCCAGGCATCCCCACCTCCTTCACAAGATCCTCGGGACCACGAACTAGCGCCTCGAGATCTTCGCACCGGGTGCGCCCCGAACGGCACGCAGCGTTGGCACGACGACACGTAACGTAGGCGAGATGGCACACAGTGCAGATGAGACCGTCATGCGGCGTGACTGGTTCATCCACTTCGTCCTTCGAGTCGAAGAAGTCTTCGCGGAAGTTTGCGAACTTGGTGGGGGAGTTCTGGTTGTTCAGTATCAGTACGTGGCGGTTGTTAGGCTAGGTATCGAGAACGTACGGCAGCAGCAAAACAGTAGTGCTTCATTCTCGCGTTGTATTCGCTGTTTACCGACGTGCTGCTTCGAGACACTGTTGCAAAAGCGTGTGTGTTCCGACCAGGCGCCTTTCCAGGTTCGCGAGCGATGCGTGTCTGGCCGCGATGTATGTGCGAACGATGAGGTTGTTGAGAGGGTTAACTCATGGAGAATTTTATGCTGAGCTTTCAATCCGGAAGGAACGCGCGACAGGGTCCGTGCGTCGTGTGAAAGTGAATGATTCGCATGTGACACAACCTCGATTGAATTTGACGCTGCCATGGCGACCCAAAGCCTCGAGTCGTTCCACGAGCGAGTGTGACCACGAGGAAGAAGAATTGGCATTGAACGTCGCACCCAGAGTCTCGCACGCACGGAAGGTCCTCCAAATTGGCATACGCCTTGCGTTATCGCACGACTGTCACGCTCAGGTCGCCTTCGAGCAGCGCCCTTCCCACATCCTCGTAGCCCAGAGTGCCAATTGAGGTCACACGTCATGCTGTTTGCGGATCTCGACATAGAGCTCGTCGTGAGACACCGAAAGGCTGATGAAGTACAAAATTCTGAGTACAGGTTCGATTCATATCTTGAGACCCACCTTCGCTCCCACTTCCATCACCCTGTATCGAAGTGGAAGCGTAAGGTGGTGCTTGAGTTCAGGCGGGACGGTCATCCGTATAGTCCGTTTTGTGGAGGCGCAGGACTCGCAGATGCGAAGAGGTACATAGAGATGAGGGAGCTCATCCGCCACATCATGGGCAGTGGACAGCTGACCACGAATGCTGAGCACGACGAGCTCAAAGCGGCGGATGGCTGGTATGACGAAGACTTTGCGCAAGCCGACTTCCTTCCTGCTTCCGCGGAATCCATGGTCAAGTACATGAGGCGCGGTGTGAAGAGCCTTCAAGCGGAAGAAATCGAGGTTTCGACGCCGCGCCAGCTTCTGTATCCCGAGCCATACGAGCACAGCGACAGAATCGTGCGCGGCTCGCATCCGGAAGCGCTATTCGATACTCGTTACACGCCTTTCGTCACTGCTCATCCGGAGGGCCTCCAAACCGACCCGCCGAGCGTCGAGGACTCCATCCCGCTACACCTGAAAGACTTCGTCGGCGCGGGCTACGGCCTCATCCCAACAAATCCTCTTCCCGCATATATGCGTGACGAGGTGGTCGTCTCACGTATGCCACGAAGCCAGGAGCCTCAATTAGACGATGATGATGGTGCTGAGTAGCTTTGATTTGGGGGATCCGGGGAGTTTCGGAGTAGTCAGGGCCAAGGCGGTTGTATAGTTCACTCTACATGTGCCAACTCTTTCGCGCGCTTTCGGTCCTTCCGGTCTAGATGTCAGAGAGTGCAAGCCAAAGTGTGGCCCACGATCTGTCATTTTTCGGCTCGAGCATCGACAGAGGTATGGACATTGACGGTAGATTGCACGGGGGAGGTATGGTACATGTATCGTTTGTCACGCAGCATCTGAGCTAGTGGGAGTGTTATGTTGGTGACAGCACTACATTTGGAGTCATCTCACTACCGAATATTCCTAGCACTGCCCAACGGCTGTTAGCTCTCTAATATAATCACTATGCGAAAACAAATACATCATATGCGGGCGCTTTGGCGGAGTGGTTAACGCGCTGCCCTGCTAAGGCAGTTCCGTAAGCGGCGTTGAGCCATAGGATGCATTGGCTCAAATCAGCTAATGATTAACAGTTCGGGAGCAAGAGTTCGAATCTCTTAGGCGTCGTCCCCTAAATGATTAATCAATTTCGGCGTACATTTTTTCGATTTTTTGCACGCCTTTTCTCCCCATTATGGGAGCACTGCAACATGTTACCTGTACCTTACCTATAGGTACATGTACCTCCTAAGGTTGATTAGGAAGGGCCCTGTCGCCTTGGCCCTCAGTCACATTTCCTCCGCACTCAGCTGCCCAGTGAGAGAACGAGCATTCTTTCAGGTGTTCCATCAAATCTATTTCATTTAGCTACATATACTGCATCTTGAGCGATCGTCGGCCCCTAGTTGACATTTCAGCATAAACTGCAATAATCAGTCTACTGATCAGCCGTGCATGGGAAGAAGAAACGTGGTCACGTCATGACGAGCCCATGATTGCAGACCCATCGGTCTCAGAGTCTCGCAGAAGGGACCCGCTCGTAGAATTGGTGTCCTCTCAATTTCTTCTACCGTTGCCGCGACATGAGGTTCGAGTTGACCAGAGCGACTTGGACTGGCAGCCGTGATCGGACGTTCCGAATGTCTCGTAGTTGCGGAGCCAATTGTGTGCGATGTGACTTTTACCGCTGTCACCTCTCCCCATGTTCTGCAAATCAGTCGTTGTCGTCCGATCGATACATGTATGATGTAGGTGGCGCGACAGCATCAATGCGATCAGATCTGCCATAGCAGTATGTCGCTCTTGACCACCCGTCATTGCTCGCAGTCGCAGGATGCTGTGCACCTCTATCCATCCAATCCGCGACCACTCAACCCGCAAAGTCGAACCTCCTCTCCCACCGCCACCACCCACGATCATACCGCCACAAACCTAGCCCTTCCGCCGTACCATTGTCGGGCTTAAAGCTCTCCCGCACTTCTTCGAGCGCTTTCGCCACCTCAAGTTCATCATCGACCTTGTTCATGATCGTATAATGAACGTTGCATCCGCCTCTGTCCTGCTCGCTCAGGAACCCTTCCTTGAGCCACGGCTCGAGCAGCGCCCTGTGAACTTCCTGAGCTTGTCGCGCGCCCTCGTTCTTCGCAACCGAAAGAGCTATGCCGTGCTTCAGGCGAAACGGCTTAGTCGCGAGTAGTCTGAAAGGAACCGTGTGCTGCGCTACATCCTGCAATACCGGGATAACCGATGACTCGAGTTTACTGCCTGGCAGAGCGTGGAATAAGGTGAGGTGTGCATCCAATTTATTGATGCGTTTGGGGAAGTATCGGGTCCGTAGCCGGGTCATGCGGTCGTGATGTGGTTGGTCGGTCAGAAGAGTCACAATGTACACTGCATCGTCTTGGGCTACGCCGTGAGGTCGGTAGCGAGACGGCGAAGGTGTCCGGGATCTAGGAGGTACCTTCCCATCCGATGGAGGTACACCGTCTCCCGCGAGAGCTGTGAGGGAACTGGCCTGGTACCTTGCAATCGATCCAGATTCACCATTTGACCCGGACACGGCAGCGGCATAGCTCAGTGGCGTCCTCATAGATGCCATTGTCGCGGCTACACAGGGGTTATCGAGAGCGCGAATTGCGGGACGGAACATCCAAACGACTCCAGTCTTTTTCCTTGTCGGGTCGATCACTGATGTGTACAGAGTGATCAGTTATGGTCGATGACAAAGATGCGTACCATCGCCATAACGGACGTAATGTCTACGGCGACGCATTTAAATATTTGGTCCCGGTCGCGATGTGACGTCGCCCGCTCGCTCAAGCACCGGCTTCCGAGGATTGCCCGGCCGGCCGACTTCACCTCATCCCCCGAGCTGCGCCGAGGTGCATTGCACATCACTGTCTTCTCATTCCGCGAACGTCCGTAGCAAAACCGCACCCGCTGGAGGCATCCGGAGGAAGCTTGTGACCGTAGGACTATGCCGAACTAGTAGTGCGGTTTTGCGTAGGCCGTTCGCGAAGTTAAGCGGTTTAGAGGGAGGGGTCCGCACGTAACGGGTACCTTACTACTCAGTACTGGGTCGAATCGGCAAAATAGCACTTACGGTGATTGGCCAGCTAAACCTGGTGGCACGAGCGTCTTAGTGCCTAAGGCAATCTTCGACGGCCGCAAGTTCGCGCCCCTACAGAAGCCTTCGCGGCTGTCCACGACACATTCTACTAAACCTTCGGAGTGCGGCATTATACACACTGTCCACAGCGGATAGTAGCGGTTCAGACCTAGTCGCAGCAGCATCGACGCCCTTCGAACGCTACGGTCCCTTCCGTATCATGGAGCGAATGGAAAAGGCTCGTCGCTGTTCGGACTTTGCTAATCTTCCAGACCGCGACAGTGTCTTCTCTCGACTGCTCGGAGATACCCACAGCACCTTGCTTGGATATAAACTCTCGGTGCGAATGGATCCTCGTTCCGCCGACCAGCAGAGCCTCGAGACCTGGCCTTTTGGCTACGTAAGCGCTGCTCATATTCTACAACGTTTCTACTTTGCTTGTTTGATTACTGACCGCACTACTGGGTGACGGCCTTTAGCTTCTCAGTCTCACCGATGATCTCTGTTCTGTCTTGAGCCGGGCTGTGAAGCTAGCCACGCCTTGCTGAGCTTAGGTTCGATCTGTTGGACGGTATGGTGCGCATTGAAGAACCACGGTGGCCCCGAGGCTCTTCTCGCCACTTCTATCCTGCCTTTGAAGTTCAATAAGTATTCACTCGCGAGTTACTGTGGTCCCCTCATGCACACCATATCAAGACGTACAAACAACACAGCACCATGGAGAATCAGTCGCCACCCTCGAAACGCAAGCGAAGCCAGCCGAGCACTTCCCAGACCCCTCTCTCTGCGTTGACTCCAGCTTCGGGCCCGGACTCGGATTCTATGGAGGGAAGAGTCTCACCCCATACAGCATACGTACCCCCGGGTCGCCTAGGTCAACCAAGGATGGAGGTGCACCAAGACACACGGCTCGATCCGCGCTTGCTCGCCGTGCTGCCGGCAGACGGTGCTGATCGTATGCGCACGCCGCTCGCCCTGACGATGCTTTCGCCAAGCTCGACGCTGGACGAAGTGAGAGCCGCTGTGTCAGATTCGGAAAAACTCTCCGAAGACATGTACGAGAAGTTGCCCAATACGCTCCCGAGAGACCGCCTGGAGCTCCAAGTCGAAAGCCAAGTAATAAGGATCGTGGGTTCAGATGCCAATCTGATAGCCCTGCATGTCTACCGACCGGTCGTCAAGGGCAGTGCGCTGCCTTGCATTGTATACTGCCATGGCGGCAGTGGAGGCGGTATATCCTATGCGAGCGTTGACAACAAAGTCCAGCGACGCTGGTGCATCTCGCTTGCAGCCCAAGGCTTGATAGTGGTGAACGTCGACTACCGCAACGCACGCACTACACCGACTGGCTTCCCGATGTTCCCTGCCGCTCTCAACGATATGTGCTCAGCCGTGGAGTTCGTTTACGAACATCGCGATACGCTGCACACCCGCAATATCGTCGTCCACGGAGATGGCGGTGGCGGCAACCTGGCGCTCGCGACGGCTATCAAAGCGAAACGGGAGGGCTGGACGAACCGGATCGACGGTGTATACGTGTACTCGCCTTTCATCTCGAACGCATACAGCTGGTCTCTTGCGCTCAAACTCGCCGAGCTGGCCTCGCTTGTGGAGTGCGATGGCTATCTTTTGAACGTCCATTACATGGCCCACATGGCGCACACTTACACGCCGCTTCCCGCGGACGGCACGAACCCGTTGGCCTGGCCGTACCACGCTTCAAAGGAGGACCTGGAGGGGTTGCCACCACACATAATTATCGTGGACGAGCTAAGTCCGTTGCGTTCAGAAGGGGAGGCGTATGTGCGGAAGCTGGTGCGGGCTGGGGTGAAGGCTGTTGGGAATGTGAATCTTGGATCCGTGCAAGGCGCTTGTTTGGCTTTTCGGCAGGCGGTGCCGGAGATGCACGAGGTTTTGGCGAGGAACATTGCGACGTTTGCGAAGCAGGTGTGACATCTATATGCGAGGATGCTGGGTAGTTTGGTATGGGAAAGCACAAGAAGACTTGCTGTGGAAAGACGCTCTGTTTCAGGCGTGGACCACACTCTATCCCGTACCTACCGATTTTTAAAACTGATCGAACTCATCTCACTCTGTGCACATATGAGCTCGCGGTGCCCAAAGTCACCGCAAATTGGGCAATCGCACGACTTATGCTATGCATCCTCTTCGTAACGTCTCACAGAAGCGCAGCGTTCTTTCCGTCATCTCTTCCGGCCTGGTCTCCAATCCTCAAGCCCGGAGCAACTCATGACGATCCATACCTCTCCCTGAACCCCTGCTTCTCTGCATATAGCACAACCCACAGCCCTTCCGCAAACGCCTCGTAGTACAGTCCCTGCTTTCGCTCGCCCAGAGAGTACTGAGCGTGGGCCGTATACATCGCGGCGTCGAAGGCTTTGATGTCCGGACACCCGCCCGAATAGTCGATCGTCACCTTTTTGTTTGCGACGGAGATGCCGTAGCCCAGGTCTCTGAGCAGGCGTATAGCGCATTCGATGACTTTGCGCTGCGAGGTGGCGAAGTTGTAGGCTTGGCAGAGCCAATGTCCGAGCGTAGTGAGGGCTAGACGCGGGCGGTTGTTGGCGAAGGCTGTCTTGTCGTACGTTGCTTCGAGGTCCTAGATGGAGGTAAGGATCATTAGCTAGAGCCCTGGGACATACTGCTCTCTGAACAAACAGCGTATCGTATCGAATGCACCCAACTTACCGAAAGCAACTTCTCTGCCTTCCGAATGCTCGCGGCATTTGCCCGATGCTGCATCGATAGCTTGTTGCTCTCTAGAAAGCGCACAGCCTCTTTGCTAAGCGCTCTGCGACGAACCAGCTGCGCCTTAGTCGTGCCACCATCCGCCTCGCAGATCCTGCAATCGCACTCGAATCCCCACGTCTTCTCCATATGAGTCCGCATCGCCGGTCCATCGTTCTTCGGGTTGCAATACGGCATCAAAATCTCCTCTCCGGCACCGATGTCACGCACGGCGCGGATGACCATCATATCCCCAATGAAAGCTCGGCCA